TTCATCGTTGGCCCTATCTTGCGCGGGGATGTAGATATCTATGCCCGTGGATTACGAGGTCGATCGTACCTCGCATAGTATGAACGTACCGCCCTCTACGTGTTCATAGTGTGGCTGAAAATGGCCCGATGATCATACTTTGGTAGCCCCCTCTTTCGATATTACACGACATTCACTCACTACAAGCTCGGACATGATCCCCGTCCCGTGCGGCTCTCATGTGTAAGGAACAAGCCACCGTACACGGAGTACAGATTTATGGGTACACTCATTTTCTCAAGCCCCCTTGGCCTCCATGCTGTCATCACAAAGCTTACGATATGCCCAGTGCCAATGAGCATCTCCAATACCCTCTTCTCACCAAATCATTCCCAATAGTCGCCTTCCCGTGCCGCCCCTTGACCTGTCAAGTTTCAACTGTCACTGTCATGGCGGAGACAGTAATACTTAATTAGAGACATTTTATTTTAGTACTATAGATTAATGTGCGGAGAAGTAAATCAGTAGATTATTTGATAATTTGAGATGTTCCAATTCAACTGAAATACTCCTTTTCGGGGCTAATTCTCGCCAAGCGCTTAAAAGCGCCTCATGCACGATATAGGATCCTCTTCCCTGTTTATACTTACTAAGTACGCAGTAGCATGGCGACTAGGATCATGGAATTTGTTATAACCCTTGTAAATTAATATACCCACCTGGGTCCTTAATCCATGGTATGTGATTCGATCGTTTTGTCAAGTGCGATATCGACCTCTCTTCTTTTCTTTTTTCTTTTTGTTTTTAATAAAAAGCCTTCCAGTCTTACTGTCATCTTCCCTGTTTCCACTTTAAATCGCCCCTCTCAAATTCCGTACATACAGTGCGCTACTGTACGTGTTGTCTTTTGTCTCCCCACTGGAACGCCTATAATTTCCCTTGTTCTATTAAGTGGCAAGCATGGAAATGTAGGCTCGTGTCAGATTGGTCCCACAGAAGGAGCTGTGTGGCCTTTTAGTCTATTCAATAGAGGAAGGCTCTTATGAGGTGTTAGGTAGTATACAGAATACCCTCCCCGCCTAAGAGCGTTGATAAACAATAATTGTTCCCATACATGATACCGCCTAATATCGAAGACGGCATGGGCAGCAAGGGCAGATGATCATATCTGTTAGTTAAAAAGCCATGTGGATCTCAAGGCCTTACTGTCCCTTCTGTACAAAGTACAATATCATCTCGTGTATAAGGTTCACTGTTGATTACCCGAATAGGCACCAAGCGTCGACTGTTCAGAGGTACAAAGTACGTGAGCGAAAAAGACTCCCCAAACACCACCAAAATCCCACGACTCCTCGAATCTCCCAACTCCAAGAACGAGCATGCGGGAACTCTTCAATCCCACTGTGGATATAAATTTATTCCCCGAGTGGTGTAGTTCGCCACCGGCTCCTGCAAGGACAACTCCCTAGTATACAGATCTAGCAGACGCTGGCATACGTATATTGCAGGAACTATTTCTGGAACTCAAATTCGCCGCATCTGAGAGGTCACACTCGAGGGACTTCTCCGAGGTGCATGGTGCACGCATGCATACACATACAGCATAGATACTGCCCCGTGGAGTTCGCGATCGAGGCAACATAGGTATTATGTGGAGTTCTGTATAATGTACCTTTTTTTTCTCTCTCGTTCAGAGATCGCCCTGATGGTCTGGATCTGGTTCCTACATGATGCATTGCCGTACCGATTCGCTCTACGGTGCGCTCGGGGCCTCCACCATTTCCCATTACCTGGATTGCAGGTTGCCTCCAATGCAAGGCGGATGTATACCCTGGTAGCCCAGGCCTGAAGATGTGCATCTTTATTTAGGTACCATTGTTTTTGTTTTTGTTTTGTTTTTTGTACTCGGTTCGGCCGGTATGCATGATATTCGTGTGAGATTTGAGTATGGAATGACAAAGTACGGAAGCGGAGCTCCCTTTGTAATAACTCCTTGCCACCTTCATATTACACTGCATATTATAATCTCTATGGAGTACTCCGTAATATCTAATGCCAGCTCATGTCCTGCGCTCCTCTCCACTTTATGTGTTCTTACGTGCCGAGCGGGCTGGTCTGTAGGCCAGAGGACGACATTACCTACATACGGCGATAGCGTTTTCTCGTATTTTGACTCAGTTTATCTTTTCTGAAGAAAAAAAGAGGGTCAATGTCCACTATCAGCGCCGCTAAACACCACAAAGGTATATCCTGGTAGATCCCGTTCACGTCGATGGCGATGTAGATCAAGAACACTAGAAAAGCCACCCAAAGTACAAAAGTACGTACAATATACAATATACGACGTCTACAACGCCGTGTATTATGGCCAATCAGGCCATTATCGGTGCTGTTCGGCTTGCGTTCTTGTCAGATCCCATCAAAGTATATTTTGCCTTTGTATATAACCAGGATTCTGACACTGACAGATCAAATGTCAGCTGTTACATCCTAAGAGGGTTCAAATGAGGGACCCGAAACCCAGAGGAACAAAGTAATAGAATAATAATATTGGGGAAAAAACCATAGGCTGATCATTGAGCGGGCCGCAGTCCTTCCAGTCTCCATCTGTCTTTATCTTCCAATTTCTACACAATAACGGTTCTACATTTTGTCTTGTGCGTTTCAGCCATGCAGGCACGGTCTGGAGCCGATGTAGGTCGACACATGCGGCAATCTTTATATGCAAGCACACATCCAACACCCCCTACACAGTCGTCATCCTATCCACCACTACTCTACAAAATATACTACTCTGTGTTAGCCTAAATCGCGGGATTGTCAGTTCCCCGTTTCAAGATTGGGAGTTCGTCCTTCAAGTTAAAATTCCGGCGACATGTAGGACTAATGCACAATGTTCTTCAGAGCGTAAAGATCGCCAATTCCCCTCTTCCCAGCCACCGGGATATCTCACTGCATATCTAGTTGCGACTAACTCGATGCTACTAGCACAATTACCTTGTGAGCGCCCTAGCATGAAACAATATCTCAATATATGCATGGAGTACGTAGTAAAGAACTAACATAATAGTTACCCTACACACTCCTTAACACTGTTATTAACCAACCCAGTCTATCAAAACTCTCAAAGTCCCGGCCTTCGTTTAACCCCATATCCTACGTGAATAAACCAACCAATAAAGCTACGTTTTACTAGTATCCGTTATCCGTTTCAAGTTAGCTGCGATCCTGATTCTTTTTCGCCTGTACGGGTCTTCGAATCGGGGATTGAGCGACACGGCCCGGCGATGTGGATTCGACTGATCGAGTCTTCCCGATAAACTGGGCTGGTCTTGGCAACTCCATTTTTAACTGCTTCGAGACTTTTGATGCGAGTCACCGGATGATCCTGAGACGCACATGGCAGTTTTAGTACGAGTGCGGATATAGCCTTATATTGATTGTACTATCATTATATCCCTAGCATATACAATGTTTATCTCTTGACAGGTACAGTATACCAACACAATAGCATTTAGACCTACCTACTTGAGAGTAAGAGTATAGAAGTAAATATTCACTAGTCCACATAGAATAGAATAATACACTGCTATCTTCATTGCTATTCTCATTTTCACAATATGTAACAGCATCAATCCTATCCAATGAACTAACTACGAACCGGGGACCAAACACCCCACAAACCCAGTCTTGCCACTTCTTAAATCCCGAAGAATAAACCCAACAGCGGTTGACAGGACAAGATAGTCCCGGGGATGACTTTCTATTTCCCTCCCGTCACGTCCGATCTATGTCCCCGACCCTGTTCCTTGTGCCATAATCCATGACCCCATCCCGCTACTAAGGTACCTAGTAGCTAGCCTAGAAAAAGAACAACGCACACACTCCATTCCACATGGATGTGTTCTACCGATGTCCAGTACCTAGCGTCTAGCGGCTAATATGTACCCACCTGGATCCACCGTCTTTGTGATCCTGATCGACATGACCTCGGTTGGAATGGTGGTTGTGGAAGTGGATTCGATAATATAGCAGTGGGCGTGTGTAGCTAGGCACAATCTAGGTAATATCTTGTACTTGATTCACCGGGAATTCTGTTATCTGTAGGTTGTGGATGTGGATGTAGATGTGGATGCTTGCTGCGTTCGACTTTGCGGTGCGGGATTTGGAAAATAGTGAGGCTAGATCCAGAAGTGCGGAGATTTGACTTTGGGGATCTGGTAGAAGTTGGTCCACGACTTATTTTGACTGGAGGTTAGAGTTAACGCTTGAGGGCTGAATATGGCGTGGCCATGGCATAACATTCATGATGGTGGATATATCTCCTGCTTGGATTAGGAAAAGCTGGAAAGTGTCTGACGCTTCGCGTTTTGCTGGATATGGAAAATCGGGCGACAAATCCAGGGATGGGCCTAGATTACACGGACGAACGGCAGCTAAGTCTGCGAAGACACAATATCCAAGGAGCATGCCGAGGCCCAATGGGCCAAGGGGAGGTCCCTGGCTCTTCATGACTACTACGATAAACACCCATGGATGTATCCAAGGGAGCTACATTTCTTGGTAGCAAACGTCAGGTGTAAAATAAAAGGATACAATTACAATCATTAGCTCGCCCAGAACTAGAATAAAAGGGAATATTACGGCATTAAAAAAACAGCTCAAGGAATGTTTACATAAAAAGGACAGCGAGAACAGAGAACACGCCCGCAGGGCCCGAAGCAGCGCCCCCTCTCGGTGTATCAACAGGGAACAAGCAGGTTACAAATGGCAACCGAATGCATTAGGACGCGATGAGCGAACCTTGAAACGTAGCAAAGCAATCAACACAAAGGATAAGAAAAAAACTCCTTCCGGGGCAGCGTCTCCCGAGGTCAGAATCCATATTGCAAATTTTCTCCACAGAGGACCGAATTATTATCGTAACAACTGCAATGTGGAACGAATATTGAGCTCGTTGCTTGGTAGACTTTTGTACAAAAATCCCCAAGGTTATTTGAATCCTCCACTAATCAGCCCCTTTACAGAAGCTGGGCAAGGGCACCGAAGACAGCGGCGAGGCCGGCGACGGGGACGTTGGCACCGTTCATGAAGGCAGCACCGGAGCTGGTGCTGGAAGAGCCGCTGGAGCTAGAGCTGGAGGTGCCGGAGCCACCGTTGGCAGTGGTGGGGTTGTTGTTGGTGGCATCACACTTGAAGCCACCCTTGATGACATCGTCGTTCTTCAGCTTGCGGAGATCATCACAGCTGAAGTTGCCGCGGGTGCTCTGCATGTTGAAGCTACCCTCGACATCCTTGAGCGCACCGAGAGAAAGCCTATTCGCTGTTAGTATTTATCCGTGGAGAAAGCTGTGGGAGCTAGGTAGCTTACTTGTTGAAGGTACCGCTGAAGTCAATGGCACCGTTGACACGCTGGAGGGAGGGCAGGCTGATGGCGGAGAGCTTATCATCACGGGCAATGGTGAATCCACCGTCAACAGTCTTCAGGACGGGCATGCTGATGTTGGACAGCTTGGAGTTGTCCTTGAAGAGCAGGTCACCGGTCTGGGTCAGGTTGGGAGCGGAGAAGGTCTCGAACTTGGTACCCCAGAAGCCGAGCTGACCGGTGAGCTTCTCGAGAGAAGGCAGGGAGACGGAGGAGATGTTCTGGAAGGTCATGTTGGTACCGGTGCCCAGGTTGGGGAGGTCGACCTCGAGGGTGTCGTAGTTACCCGAGAAGCTGATCAGATCGGTGGCGTTCATAAGGTTGTTGATGTTGATGGTCCTCAGGTCACGGTTGTTCTGAATGCTGAAGGTACCGACGGTCTTGAGGGTGATACCGTTCAAGTCAGTCAGGCCAGTGTTGGCGATGCTGACGTCGCCAGCCTTGGTGACACCCTTGGAGAAGGACAACGACTGGAGCTTAGGGAGAGCCTCCCAGTTAATGGAACCAACGGAATCGAGCTGAGCGAAATCGAGGAGGGTCAGGGTGGTGAGACCCGACAAGTCGAAGGCCTTTCCGATCGTGGTAAGGGAGGGAGCAGTGATGGAGCTGACGTTGGCACCACCAGAGCAGATCAGACCACCGTTGATCTTCTCGACACCACTGAGCGAGAGCTCGCCGCTGTAGGACTCGTCGATGGTGACATCACCCTTGATGGTGGAGCAGGTGTTGATGCCATCAGCATCGCTCTGGCTCTTGATCTTAGTATCACTGCAGGCTGTAGGATGGCACTGTTAGTGGGTGTATGAAGTTTGTCAGGAATAGAGAGTACTCACAGGCAGCGAAAACAGCCTGGCTGGCGGCCAGCGCAGGGAGGATATACTTCAGAGACATGATAGATTCTGAAGTAGATGTTAACGATGAATTCTGTGGGATTTTTCGATCAGGGGGGAAGGATTGTACCGATTAGAGATATGGGGAATGGTAGAGCAGGTAAATTCGCAATGAGTGATTAGAGAAGAAGCGCTTCAAACGAGAGGGAAGCGAAAATACTGCCGAGGGTGTACAAGGCAGGAACTCTCAAATGGTAAGAACGAATGGACGAAGGTTGGGAGGAGAAATGAAGAAGAAGAAGGAGCCTTGGGGGAGGAAAGGGGAGGTGGAGATTGTTTGTATTCTAATCTTACCAGGTGCCACTATTTTACTTATATGGGTTTATCGATACCAAGGGGGATGGGAAAAAACACACACAGTACCGCATCCGGCATGTCAGGGCCGTGCCAGGGCAGTGCCAGGTATTTTATCGCTGGTTTCAACTTGGCCGATTAGCCATAATCTTACATTGAAACTGAAAATTACTTTAAAATTACCAAATTACATATTACCAAATTATTAAAATAAATAAAATAAAAAGTCAATACAAATAATTCCAGACCAATTCCTGCTTTTGAGCGCTAGTGCACTCCTCCAAGCTTGGTACCTCGTCCCCATTCGCCCCCTTTCTCCATTTGTGGTTATAGAATTTGCCTTGGGTATTTTGTTTACTCTGATGATTCATGGATCTGTATTTCTATGGATGCGGAACATCGTTGGAGTCACATGTAGATAGTTAGTTAACTATTCAAATGTTTACATAACTACTATAAAGTACATAGTTAATGTAACTAGATGCTTTCGTCACTTTGAAATTGGGCCATGCACTCACTAAGTAAGGTACTATATACACTATACCCTGTACAACTTGGGGACTGGTTGATCAGGCCTCCCCACGGTATGAATGATAGTTGTCACGGTAGATTTTGTACAACCATCATTTGCACACTGTCTTGGGGTTTCTCTTAGGCCGATCAAAAAGTACCTAGTTACATAGTTAGTCATATATCCTCGGTATCTTGGACATGGACAAAAATCCCATGCAAATTTTATATAGTACCAGCATTATCGCCCATCGATAGGATACAGCGTTACCACTAGACGGGTCTAATAATATTGCATAAATACTAGCTTATAACAAACGTCCAATCATTCAGCACTTGACGGCAACGGGTCAATCAGAAGTTCGCTAACCAATTTATCAACGGCCCCATCCTATCCTATCTATCACCTGCTGTCGTCATCCATGCGACCAAGCTCGCTCGAAACTCCCCTGTAGATCTTCAAATGTCTTGTGTTATAACTTCGTTTCTCATTGGATATTACTGTATTTATATGAGACAATATCCAGCCCTTATAGCTAGGATCATACAATATACTCGGTACATACTTGCCAATCACTAAATCTCTCTTAACACTTCGTACGGAGCATATCGACAACCGTAATCTCCCACCCAAAACACATCCACGCAATCTATAAACTTGATTTCGAAGCTTTTCACTTTGATAGTGGCCGATCTAAATTTGCGGGAACCCAAACCTTCTCTGGACCCGCATCCTGCCGCTCTCGTCGATTCCCCGGTATGCGCGACTTCTGATTGGCCCTGGATCACCGTCAATCCTCGCTGTTTCCCGAAAATACAGCTCTATCTGAGGCGAAATATTCGGCCCCTTCGCGAGTATGATATGCAAATGGTATCCAAAGAAAGCCTGATCTTCACCATCAAACCATCCAGTCCGATCCCCTGGCCCATATTTGATGCGCTATACGCACAGCAGTTGGCATAAGAGGTAATTTAACTATCGGAGATCAATAAGTCGATCGCAACTGATTTTGTGCAGCTTTGCCACAATTTCCATTTGTACCCAACTAGGTAGGTAGGTACATAATTTCGCTGGGTATATATGCACCTACCTTGCCTATATTGTACGATGTACAGCTTTAAATCACAATGATGCAGCTCCAAGACGAGCCACGATACATTAATCTGGAAATTTTCCATGTATGGTATACTGACAACTGAAAATTTCAAGATCTGTGCGTTTTCGGTAACAATCCAGAACCCCGGCTATTAATTCGGCCCCGAGGATGGATCTTTAATTAACTAAGACACGATCAAGCCATGTCTAGAGCTTCTATGGGCCCTCCAAGTTTTCAAATAGAAGTTTCAATCGCATCTTGTTCTTCAAGGCGCAATAGAATGAACAGTATTGACCCTTGGGAGATTTTGATGTTTACACAACACAAATATGCATTTCCGGGTGGCAACAAAGTCATTATCGGAGATGTTACGGAGTACAGTATGTAAAGTCAGGAAATGTTTCAGAACGGAGCCAACTGCGTCTCACCCCACTCTTGTACCGCTCCACTGAGTGATAGGTTTTCTTTTTCTCGATCGCTTAGAATCCTATCAGAAAACTTGCTTCATTATGTATACTAGTATTCTACCTAGGTACCTCGACTATGTTGTATGGAGCATGGACGCGTTGTCATGTACTCCGTAGCAAAATCCGCGTCTGCAAAATTGCAAAAAAAAAAAAAAAACAAACCTTGATACACGCGGGCCTGAATACCCAAGCTCATTACGCCACAAATATAGATACCGCGAAACGTCAAGCTAGGCCCAGCTCTGAGCTGTCCTAAACAGCCACTTGTCACTTTACAAAAGACACATCTGTACAAAGTACTTCGTATGGTGATTTCTGTCTCATGGCATTCAACTCACATTCCCGTCCTGTCGGCCCTAAGAGGCCGACAGACTGGCCACGCACTGGAATGCGTGTAACGCTCAGAAACGGGTGTGTGCCTATCTAGGGGTCGCGGATGGCCACATTCCCTCTAGCACCAGATCATTATCGAAAACCAAACAAGCAAAATTCACTCGCCCGACCACTCTGGAGTATGTGTTTATATCCTAATCCGGATTATCGTGGTCGTGTACACTTAGGACTGCAATGCGAAGATACTCGTGGTCTGGGGCTTCCAAGACTAATGAATGGTCTCACAAACAAGGATCCATTCTTGTTTCGAACTGATGCAGAAACATCTTCCGAGATTTGACTCGGTCCAACGCTTCAGCCTAAATGCTAACCTCTGTTTTTACTGGTCGATCTCCAATTGCATTACATGAACGGTCGGTTCATTTCCACCCTTTTTTTTTCCCTATTTTTTCTCCTCCCGGATATAATTAGTCGGCGAGTCAATATAACCGTAGATCACTGACGCGAGCACCTGTGTTTCATATAATCTCCATCTAGCTGAACAATTCTACTATAAGATCACGCCAATATATCATGACTATATCTATCTATGCTCAATCCGTTGTCGAACTTTTCATGTAAAAATTGTTGTATTGTGTTACGAAGCTACCATGGATCTTCAATTTCGGTCCACGGGGTGTTCTTGCGGATAGTTCCATCAGCGGAGTATATTGCATCCAATCGCGTGACTTTCCAATATAAATCCAAGGTACAACCCTCTTCATACTTTTTCTGTATAACGTCTCGCAAGAATTGATTTGCTGGCGAGTACCAGTATTTATAGAGTCCATTTTACATTGAGAATATCAGGAATTTTATTGGTTCAAATAGCCCTAGGATTCGGTTTTAGTATGTAATATATATATGTAGATGGAGAAATTTTCTCAATACAAATCATAAAAATTGCTTGCAATATAGAACTAAAAGGTAGAACTGTCAATAAATATATGTATTAGTAGCATAATGCATCCAACATGTTCCGTACAATAACTATATAACGCGTTCAATTATCCTTTCATATGCCAGGCTAAGTCATAATATAATCAGCACATCACGCTCGTTGGGTGAAAATTCCAAGAAGCTCGAGCCGCGAGTTTACCATGGAATACTTTATATACCATCTCTTGGCACCGAATTTTGCTTCCATTCAATACACAAGCAAGGCTTTGTCATTGGTATCCAGTAACAGTTCGCGCACAATATGCGGGACTGTAAAAGCTGTGGTAGTATTCGGCGCTTGTCGCAGCAGCGCAGATGCAGTCACAGTAACATGGAGCGCCAATGTATGCCGCAGATGATCCACGATAACTATGAATACTGATCGAGGTGGATAATCAGACGTTGATGGAGTGTCCATTTATAGAAAGGGAAGACAGGGGAAGTAATTAGCAATTCAATTTCAGATCCTACCCCTGTAAGTTTCAATATAACTTAGACATAAGTCATGACGCGGCTTAGAAAGAATAACTATGCAGTGATATGTATAACCTTATCTTCCATGGACACGTGTAGATTTGGTGTAGAGGTAACCTTTCGGAGGGGTTTCCAGGTCTCTATACTAGGAAGATATATAGTTAGATGGTTGTCTTGTGGGGAGGAGAGATTGAAAACTATATGAGTATATGTGATAGCTAGAGGAAAAGTGGTATATTAAAAGTATATACAAGAAAAATGAAAATATATTTACCATGTCCAGAATCGATGCTCAATAATAGAAATTTGCGTGCCTGTCTTGTCTAGCTGCGAGCGTCATTATGCTTGGCACTCGTGGGGTAGCGCGGCGAATCTCCAACTCCGCACCACCTCCGCAAACCCCAGCTTCCCCTCTAACCTTCTCGAGACTTTCTCAGAGCTGATACATAGGTCATTGGAAACGGGTATCTCATATATTACTCAAGAATGTCACTCAGACGCTCAGCCCGACTGGGTTCCATCCCAACCATCAAGGCACCACTACTGCAAAGCGCAGCTCCGAGCGAAGCAACCAGAGTCCAACACAGCGCAGTGGCAAAACCTCGCAAGGCACCCACGAAGCCCAATAAATCAGATAAAAAGCCCACGAAAACGAAACCCAAAAAAAAGAACGTCTTATTGGTCCCCCGAGCCAGCAGTCACGGAGAATCAAGAAACATACAATCAGCCCTCAGCCACTAACCCCACGATATTCAGACCTCAGACACCGCCTCCCCTCGACCGCCCCGTCGACCCGCATCGAACAAACGCAACCCTCATCACCCCTCATGGCTCAACGGTAAACGCCTACCCAGCCCACGTAGAAGATGCCTCGCCCTCGAAAACCGGCCTTCCGCGGCCAATGGCCACAACAGGAACATTACTCGAGAAAGCCACCGCGCACCTCATAGCAACAGATCCACGCATAGCAACAGTGATTGATCAGCATCCATGTCCGCTCTTCTCGCCTGCCGGCTTAGCAGAGGAAATCGACCCCTTCAACAGCCTGACCAGCAGTATCATCGGCCAGCAAGTCTCCGGCGCAGCAGCAAAGTCTATCAGGAACAAGTTTCTGACGCTATTTGATTTACCCGATACTGTTGCGCCGGATGGACATAGACATGCAAAGTTCCCGACACCGGATCAGGTCGCTAAATGTGATATTCCTACACTGCGCACGGCGGGGCTGTCGCAGCGTAAGGCAGAGTATATCCAGGGACTTGCAGAAAAGTTTGCCAGTGGAGAGCTTGGAGCGAGGACGTTGGCACGGGCTACTGATGAGGAGCTTTTTGAGAAGCTTATTGCTGTTCGTGGATTGGGGCAGTGGTCGGTTGAGATGTTTGCTATGTTTGCGCTTAAGCGCATCGATGTGTTTTCTACTGGGGATTTGGGAGTACAGTAAGCTCATATCTTGTTTTTGTTCTACGCAAATCCTTGTCTTACGGACGGGATGGGTTGTGTTATGGGTCAGCAGGTTTATTGACACAGTAGTAGACGAGGCTGTGCTGCCTTTGTAGGTCGTGATGTGAGCAAACTCAAGGGCAAGGGTGGTGGTAAGTTCAAATATATGGCTGAAAAGGATATGCTGGAACTTGCTGCCAAGTTTGCACCATACAGGTATGTCTCACCCTGTTGATGATGTAGACAATGTGCTCACTTCCATGATCTAGGAGTCTGTTTATGTGGTATATGTGGAGGATTGAGGATGTTGATGTGGCTGTTCTTGGTGGTTAAAAGATGTAGATGCACTACCTCTGTGAATCAGGCTACTATGATACTCTGTGGTTTACCGGACGTTGAGAATTTGAGATCTTAGTATAGATCTTACCATAATGTATATAGTCAATTCTTGGCAGTGAATTGTGGCTCTGCTTTTGTGGGCATGAGAAAAGGGGAATAATTGAAGATGTTATTATACATGCAGGCAGATGAGGTTGGGCGCCTAACGCCCAAACACACTAGGCACCAACCTGCATAGGCTACACTACCTCGAACCACTCTAGTCATTACTAAATGCTATGAATAAAGAAGTGCAAGACCCACTTGGAGATATAAGCGCGCGAAGAAAATCGATTTGTACAGTATCAGTACACTCAGGCTGCGTAACCAAGCCATGGGCCGCCGACGACGACGCCCATTCTATTACGAAGAAAGCACACCAGGCGTTTATTCCATGTCAACAACAATGCTACCCAACCCCCTGTTTTCATATTCTATTGAAGCAAGCAGTAACGGCTTACTTGCGGACAACAAGGTTGTCGAGGTCAGCACGCTCCTTAACCTCCTTCTCGATCTCGCGGATGATGGGGCTAAGGTACTCGACGTCCTATTTGATTTGCATCGTTAGCATTGTGTTCGACGTGGTGAGTGGATGCCCCAAAACGGAGTCGGGATGAATGTGACAAATCCATGCAACAGGATTGGCCGATATGGAGACCAATGCGGGGAGGGCGAAATTTGGATGTTGGGGACTCACCTCCTCGGGCTTGATCTGCTCGTTGGCGGGAAGGAGAGTGTGGGAGATGGAGCACTGCAATTGACACATTTGTTAGGTTCTGCGCCAGTCGGATACAGAGGAAGGGGGGTCGGTCGAACCTGGAAAGCACGGCGGATACGGAAGACACGGTCGTAGGCCTCCTTGGTGGGAAGACGCTTGATGGCCTTCTGGACGTTCTCGCTCTCCTCAGGGATCAAGTCATCGAACCTAGTTGGGCGGTTAGCAAGTGTTTCGGTCCAACCCTGCCGCGAACGATATCCGAAAGACCGGGCCTCCGGGCAAATTCGATACAACTGCGATCGCATTCCAAGGATATGCCACCGGTGCGCGACGAATTTGACCAGGCAATTCCCAATCCTTGTCTCAATCGCTCGTGGTCGGGGGGTTGTCGATGTGGGAGGGCAAGATTTACTTGAGTCCGAGTCTCCTGTAGCCGGCGGCATCGGTGTACCAGTGGGAGAGAGGGGTGAGCCAGCTCTTGAGCCATGGGCGCTTGACGATGTAACTGGCGAGCGAAGGGGCGGACATTTTGAATCCCGGGTATCCCAATTAACGTGGGTGTGGTGAGAGGTTGGTAAGGCTATCCGACTGGAACACGAGATGACCCGATGTTGCGAGGTTGTGCAAAACGGAGCTCGGACGGCTAGTCCCGAAACGGCAGTTCTACGCCTGAGGCCAAGACCACGTGATATATATGTGCCTCAGGCGGTGGGGAAACTGGGAATGTCAATCGGCGCACTCCACCTAAACGATGGTTTCCTATGTCATATCCTCTTTTTGATCTTATCGCTTGCTTTGATAGAGGTGGGATTTATTAAGACTCAAAGCAATAACTAATCCCTGCTCCCACTGAGAAGCTTGTTTGTTCTGAAAACCCCGCCCACGTCCGTGCTGCAAGATAATCGAACATTGCGCATTCAACACAATCAGACCGGGTTCGGCAACCATCGGCCCCGAAAACTCCTCTCAATCCTTCGTCATTACACACCTTCTTCCTTACACTATCTACGGACTTTGTACTTTGGATTTTGGATATTCGGATAAATCTACGTTTCTTTCCCAGCTCGGTTTGAAATAGGGTTCTTGGGTTCCGGATCGAGCACCCGATATGCTCGTGTCCGGGAGCCCTCGTTGATTCAGTACGGTTCGACAAGCTGCGTGAGCGCCGGCCACCAAGATGACTACAAACGGCCGAAGCGCTCCGAACAGCTCCCAAAACCAAACTCGCTCAATCCATGTCGATAATGCTCCCAATGTGCCCGCCGCATCGGGCTCTGATTTTAAAGCACGCCTCGAGGTCTTTTCCACCAAGATACCCAACTTTTACATAGCACCTTTCTGCGGAGCCAGCGCTGGCGTGGCCTCTGGTATTGTCACCTGTCCTCTTGATGTTATCAAAACGAAGCTCCAAGCCCAGGGTGGGTTTCGGCGGGGAGCAAAAGAAGTTGCCTCGGGAGTGCTGTATCGTGGCATGCTCGGAAGTGGAAGGAGAATTTGGCGAGAAGATGGCGTTCGCGGTCTCTACCAGGGATTAGGTCCAATGTTGCTGGGATATCTTCCCACCTGGGCTGTCTACCTAGCAGTCTATGACCGGACCCGTGAATACTTTTATGACCAGACAGGTAGGTACCTCCAGAATGGAGGATTCGATCATTCATCAATACTGATCAAATTACAGGAAGCTGGTGGTTATCCCGCGGATATGCATCAATCACAGCTGGTGCATGTTCAACAGTTGTGACGAACCCTATTTGGGTCATCAAGACCAGGCTCATGTCGCAAAGCCTTAAACAAAACAGCGAAGGAGTGCGAGCTCCTTGGCAATACTCAGGAACATGGGATGCTGCCCGCAAAATGTATCAAATCGAGGGCCTACGCTCCTTCTACTCTGGTCTCACCCCGGCTCTGCTGGGACTGACTCATGTGGCCATTCAATTCCCCCTCTACGAATATCTAAAGATGGCCTTGACAGGCTATGGTATCGGTGAACACCCCGATACCGGTAGCTCACACTGGGTGGGGATATCTGTTGCTACTTTCCTCAGCAAGATCTGTGCGAGTACAGTCACATACCCGCACGAGGTCTTGCGGACCCGACTCCAAACACAACAACGGACTGTTCCGGCGCAATCTCACGAAGAGATTGCGTTCCGTGGCGGATTGAAACATCCACATGACCGTGGCCGGTCAGGCGGCATATCCTCGTCAGACGGAATGCGTAATCGCCCACGCTATAATGGCATGGTGCGCACGTTCCAGACAATCCTTAAGGAAGAGGGATGGCTTGCGTTTTATTCCGGGATTGGCGTCAATCTGTTCCGGGCCGTCCCGGCCGCCATGACTACCATGCTCACCTACGAATACCTGCGGAAGCAGATCAATACTTTGCAGCATGAGGGTGCGCTGAGGATCCAGATGGAAGAAGAAGCTAGGAGATCTATTTGACACCCACGACATATCAAAAAACAAGAGACTACCTTCAATCTCCAATCTTCCTTCATATCCGCTTTTAATCCATCGCACCCCACTGCTTCTGTCCGCCAAGTCCTTCTTTTTCCTTTTGTCACAACCTGTATAGACATTGACGGGGCGATCTGCCCGATATTTGCAGATCAATCTTTAGCGAGTAAATTTTGGCTTGTGCATTCTGAAAACATATGAGGGTCTCGGCATAGATGACAGTGTCCTCCAGATTTTAGGGCTCTAACATGTGAAACAGCTTTCACATGTCTTCACGTGCTCGCTGCATCTTAGCTGAAAGATTATTGTGCCTCAAAGCATGACATGCTTTTCTTTCTTGTTGCTTTCTTTCTTGTCTACATCTTCCTGGTTTCTACATGTCTTTTTCTGTACATCACGTATTCTGCATGCTTGCCCACTCTCGTGAATATACATCCTCCAATAAAGCAATGGCTCTTATCTCTGATTTTAGAAGATGAAGGACATATTTCAACTACTATATAGATGGGAATTCATCTCGACCATTGCGAAGCGTCTGGTATGAATGAGTCCTAAGAGACCTCTAGACTACCATATCACTTGGTTCCACTCTTTGTACTGGTGTTTTATTTGAAATTGTGGTTATTTCAACTTTGTGATGATTTGAAAGTAGCGAGAATGCTTTTGAAAATGGCAGATTGATGTCAACTTTCATGTCGAGCCTGACAGTTCTCACAATGGAAAAAAAACCCATGTGAGGAAACTCTCCCGCTTCCATGGTCACGTTAAAGCGTGCTTCGCAGTCATTGATAAAGGACTTGCCAATAGACACTATTCTCGAAATAATGAGAGATCCGAGTTGGCCATGATCCTTGAGAAGCTCAACGATTTCATTGTTGCAGCAAAGTTTATAGATGTTGTCAGAAATAACATTCGTGAGAAGACCGAGAAGACTGGGAGAGCGAATTTTGGGGAACGATGGTGTCATGTAGTAGTCTCTGATCCATGCAAAAAGCTGCTGACAGAGAGTGGGTTGGAAACAGAGATCTTTCTATGTCCAGGCTTGTTTGTCGGGTTCCCAGAGTTGCCTGGCGGTTGCCTTTTGGCTTCACATCCTGACCATTGTCATTGTAAGTCTACTGGTAGAGAAAGCAGAGGACTCGTCCGATGGTCTCCGAGTCATCGTCGAGTGAATTGATCCCGCTGATGGATTCTTTGAAAAAGTACATGTAAGAAACTGAGACTATTGGACACTGAACATCTCTTAAAGCCATGTTTAAGAGCGACAGCGAAAAAAAATAAGACTGTGTGTACACTGTAGATACTAGATAATGGCGCGGTGTGCCTTAAGAGCCATGTTCTGGCAGACAATGACATCTAAGAAACAATCCTCCTTAAAATTTCCACTCACTGCCTTGCAAAACAAGGAGGAGTTTTTGACTGATGCCATATTGAAAAAAACAAAAGACATATGGGAAGGAGAAATAATTGAGAAGAGACAAGTGGGAAAGAGAGAGACACTTGAGTAGAAATTGGGTGAATAGAACAATGGGAATGTCCAGGCATTTAAAATTGAGAACGCAAGCTATAATCCTTCAACCTCATATGGAGGTCAACATGAGTTAGTCTATACTTTTATGTATATTGCTTCAAATCTAGTTGAAGCAATGTTCGTATATAAACCATGATTAAAGTAGATTCAGAATGATACAAACCTTCCTATAGTTAAATGAAAGGCACAGCTTTTATACTAGAGTTAAATTGGCGGACTTCAAAATCTTCGAACTTGACGCTGATATGTGTTGAATAAAATGCTGCCCACGCTGAAAGTAGAGTGGTTGTGCAAATATATGGGGCAGCCACGTGACACACTATTTAAATATGCCGCAATTATTTTTTTCCTTCTTCCCTTTCCACTTCTCCCTTCACACTTTTTTCCTCGACAATCATCAGATTGTACATGTCTCTCAAGTGTTTAATGTTATCACTTTGAGGATCAATCTCAGATCAACAGATGTCGATTTTGATCAGGATCACTTAACCTAACTTGCATTCAACTAATTATGTATGCCATTGGCTTTTTTTGATATATTCAAAGGCAACTAGATGTGCCTATATAGTCTCATCGCCCGTGTTTATTCTTACGCACCTTGCAATTCCTTTGGACACCTCACATATCCCTTCACTATTCGCATGATGAACAATTTCAAGATTGAACTGGGTTGTCAATACACTTAGACTCCCGGTGCATGATCATTCATACACTGAAAATTCTGATTGAATATGAAGACGCAGATGTTATTTCCAGTTGAATCTGGTTTGTCCCCACCTATATAGTTAGCAAGAATAATTCTACATGTTGGTATTACAAACTTTTATCAAACACTGCTATAGTGGATTCAATCCATATCATTCATGTACAAAAGCACCATTCAACATAGGTACAACTCAAGGCCGTCCCTTGCCACTATTCTGCGCTCGACTTTCATCAAGTGCTTGTTGAACCCAGGACTCGTCTTTTCTATCAAATGGCGTAGCTCGCTGATAAGAACCGGGCCCCGGAGCTTGGGTCTGGGCGTCTCGCCGCGCAGTGCGGATAGAGCTAATGCAGTATGAACAAAGGAGGACAGCCATTGTAAAAGCTGCAATAGGAGCATTGAGAGACTGGATCAAGATTAGTATTGGAGGAATCATTTAATACGAAAATAGACGGAAAATTGGACAGTTTAGCCAAGAAATTAAGTGGGCTGATAGTGTTTAGATTGGTATCTGCAATGCAGTGTACATACTCCTTTTGGCTTGCCTAATGCTTTGGGATTTGGCCTTGGTTGGGCCATTGCGTTCACGGGTATGTTGTGTCTGACTTTGATGTAGGCTTGAGCTATCCTCAGGCTCACCTTTGCAGGCCAAGCTTGTTTAAATGGAAGTGTCACTCTTAAGAATGGCACAATCAAGTAAATTTGAGAACCAAGAGAAAAAAAAAGCAACTATATGCAAAAGAGGCAAGGATGGATGGTCACGGTGATCGTAAATGGTGGTGGTGCCTTGGCGGAGGCGGAGAGATTGTAAATGGATGCCTTAATATGGTTGAATTCTGCCTTATTTTAGACTTAGAAGGCTTAATAAGCAGGTTACGTAACTATTCCTATGGACATTTCTAGGAATTGAAGCTGTCACAACCGGCCGAATCTCTAATAATATTAATAATATAATTCTTTGTGAGTTCCTTAGAGAGTTTAATAAGGATAATACAGTGGATAAAAGCCCTGGATTTATAGAGGTTAATTGAAGTAAGGGAAATAGAAGCAAGCGATATTAGGAGTTTTTTTGTGACCTACATTTGTATGTAAACAAGAAATATGTGTTGAACAATAATCCCATGCATGGATGTTTGCTATTTGCTAGATTGTTTGCTATAGAATGAGGCTCAATGAGCCTTTGTCCAGATGTTTTTAATAGGGTATATAAACCCCTGCATTTCTAGCTTTAATGAATTAATAAATTCATGGTTATTCTTCTGCTTTCTCCCCGCCTAGTAGTAATCTTTACAACAGGTTATGCTATGCTCAACAATATGTATTTAATGTATGGCAACTTCTGGATATAACGAAGTTTCTGCTCTGTCTAGAATATATCGTTGTAAGTAGGTTTTACTGTATAGTTGATTTAAAACTTCAAGCTTGAAACTCGGCCTAGAACCCAGTTTGATCTGTCTGCCGAACACTGAGACGCTACCGAACACCGAACCCCGAGAAATTGACTGGATTATAGGCAGAGGGATTCTACTATTCGCATAGAGGGAGAATATAGTCCTAGATGCGGCAAGTATATCCATGGTAGATGTGGGTGTTTGAATAAGCTGATTCTAGTTTACCTAAAATCTTCGGTCTAACTAGCCGCGGTATTTCAAATTCTCTTCATGAACATGATATAAGGCCACACTACCTAACTGTTCAAAATTCGACTTGGAAAGCTCGGTAAGCTCCCTAACTATGGTCTTGCTATGCACACTGATATGAGAGATACTGAGTCACTCGAATATAGTAACGACAGTGATTGCGAGGAACGGTTGGTCAAGCTTCTATACCTCAATTTAGAAGTGTTCCAATCCAGCCCTGCAGTACTCACACACCGAACGATACGACCTACACATTGATTCATTTGGCTCGTCCCGCTCCGGAAAAGACCAGCCAAAAGCTTCACTTCCGACCAAAACTTATAATGCAAGTCCAACGGGTCGGCTGCAACGCTCATGTCATGTCTGTCCTTGAACTCTGGCGTCCAGGCGTCTTCGATGATGGCGTTGCCAATAATTCTGTCCCGGACGCCAATTTACATACGAACGACATTTACGTCTGCCAGCACAAGGATTATCCTTTGCTTGACTCAGATGTTGCGGACCAAGATGATGATGTTCTAGCTGTTATCCATTCGGAATTACAAGTTGACAAAAGGGAAACAGTACTATAATCAATTTTCGAGGAGATCATTTGGCGGACGTACACAAATCCATTGAAGGCCACTATCAATGTACTTGGGATGATGCTAATAGGAGTCCCATGAGAATGGAGGCATATATTCCTGATAGGGTCGGAACTGGGTCTTGGTCTATATTAGTTATCTGAATCCACTGGAGTGCAAGTAACACTGGGTCGTATGGAAGACATGATTATCTCATTATCCTAACAGAAGGAATGTCCAGAAAACGGGGAAAGTTTACGTTCCTCGTTAGATCTGTTGATATCATCCATGTCATGGCAGCATTGATTGAAATACTAGACAAGGCAGATATTTGGTAGATTGCCTAGGTCTGTCCACAGGCATGTCACCAAGTCCTCATAGCTTCAACGATTTCATATTAATTATTCCAGGCATTCTTCAGCGTCGACTCCAGGATAACTGATGTAATGGATATGCCGTTTCGGGATTGGGGATAGCCTCAGATGTCTGTCTGTTTAGATAATTGTGATTTTAGTTTCTATATCCCAAAGCGTCCAGCATTAACAGTGACATCACTGGATTGCCTTTACCTTTGACTAAATTCACTTGGTCGATGATAATAGTGAATGGCATGGTCGGTGAAGAACCTCCAGTCCCAATTGAGGTAAACATGCCATTCATTGTCTCGACATCGTCGAGCCTAAGCATCACCAGTGACTTGCATCTTTGACGATGGATAAGGGAGTTCTTCAAGGGGATTATCCTGGGTTACAGGGATAACTCTATTGGAAGTTATGGCTTGATGTGGTTGTTTTTCATTGATCTCTTTGGTTATGTGTAGGTGAACACCCTATGGATGCGGTAAGGTCTAATTGGGCCATGGGGTTATTGATAGCATAGCAGGCAGCACTGGGGGGATGTCTAATTAACTCTAGCAAGTTGTGTCGTGAAACCAGCCCCATCTTCTAAGTTCTCACTCAGTGTTAAGAACCCATAATTCTGCTCCACATTCAACCCATTGTGAACACCGGGGGTACCTATCACTGCAAAGGGGCAAAGGGAAAAGGGAGATCAGTTCTGCACCCTTTGCGATCCTTATAGCTTCAGTTCGATGATTTGTATGGTAGGGAAGGCCGTTAACGCTGGGGCTTTGATGGGTCTTGTTGTAGTCGATAGTACAACAAGGGGGAAAAGTTGAAGAGGAACATGATTTATTCGTAACTAACAAACCAGGGGTTATATACTCTGAAAAAACCATCTAAACAAAGGCTCCGTTTGTAAGAAACAAGGGAACAAGCAAGCAAGCATGCTATACTGAATAGCCGTGCCAAGCGCCCAACACACCTTCCGGGTGTTGGTGCGCCTCAAATGATGCAGTATTCTCGCAGGATGCAAGATCTATAAATTAGGTATCTTTTGTATGAATTACCTATACAAAAGGTACTGTTGGGCGCTTGGCACGGCTATGTAGGCGGTCTACAAAAGCATATTAAGGCATCAACCCTGTAAAATAAGGCATTTAGACGCACGGACCCCAAGAGATACCGTCTTATCGCGGTCGTCGCGGTCTCGTACTTAATCGGTGCCGACGTTCTCAGGCCGTCGACACACTCTTACCATCACAACAGCCATGGCTTCTGAACCTACCCCTCCAAAAGGGGGCATCTCACTCTATGCAAACTTACTTAATTCATCTTCGGACACACCTGGAATCATATCTCGTGCTCCTGTTGTCTTCAAACAGTCGGAGACCGAACCCCAACCTGATGACGCTGCGGCCGCCAAAAAGCAACACCTGAATCCTGGTATTTAATTTACCCTTTGACTTTCTCATGCATGAAGTAGCACATGCTGATTATCTCTTCCTTTTTTTTCATAGCTTCCCTCCGGTTCCAACCCACCAAGAGACCACAGCTCTCTGCTCAGAAACCCAAACCGAAACATACTTTCCCCAAAGCAGTACCACAGCTACAGCCCCCAGGTAACCCTTCGGTACCGACGAAGAGCACCTTGGCTGATTGGACTGCTTTGGAAGATGACGATTATGAGTACGCGCGAGAGAAGCCACAGCGTGGCGGAAGAAAGAAGCGCAAGAAGAACTTTGAGGCACCAGCTGTCCAAAATTGGGATGATATCTACGACACTTCTCGACCTACCAATTACCAAGAATACCGCCACAATGACGCGGGGAAGGCTGAGATTGGCGCGTGGGAGGATGTCTTGTATGGGCACGTCAGAAAGCGCTCACCGAGCAGATATTCCGAGAGCGAGGATTATGATGAGCCAAACATGCGTATGTTCGGGTCTTTTGCGATTAGTGACGACGCCCAGACTAAAAAGAAACTAGGACAATTTGTGCCTCCAAGAAACTTTGCGCCGCCGACTAATCTTAATGATGTGCCACCAGCAGCTTCTATCCCCAATGACCCATCTGGTGACGATGCATTTGCTCGCCGCGCAGCATTAGGACAAGTCATACCTCCCCAGCCATCACGCCCCCTTGATGCCTTCCAACCTAGCTCCGCAACCATCTCCCGCGCCCCAGTCCGATACACTCTACCTCCACCCCCAGAAGACATCCCAGCCTCCGAAGCCGAACTTGAAGCCTTATTGGCGCAAGAGCACCCGACAGATGAGGAAGAACCGGATGAGTCCGCGCCACGATCACTTCGTCCCGGCCAACCGAATTTCGGGGAACGAATGCTTTCCAAGTGGGGCTGGAACAAGGGATCCGGCCTCGGCGCTACTGGTTCTGGTATGGTGAAGCCGCTGCAAGTCAAGCTTGAGAAGCGAAAGAAGCGACCAGACTCCGAGGGTGGGGGCTTTGTCACGCCTGCTGGACGAGGTAAAATCATCGGAAGCCAGAAGAAGGGTGAATATGACACCAGCAAGTTCGGTCCTATGAGCGAAGTGGTCAAACTACTTGGCATGTTAGATGGCATGGACCTGGATGCCGAGATGGAAGGGAGTCAAAATGGTGGTTTGATGCAGGAGATTGGACAGGAGTGTAGTGACAAGGTACGTTTCCTTTCGTCAATGGACTTTTGGGGCTTTTGCTAACTTGAGGGGCTCTAGTATGGAGACGTGGAGCGAGTCTTTATCGCTCGCGACGTCGGAACCCCAGTCCCTGTCTTTGTCAAATTCAAGCACCCCTTGTCTGGTCTACGGGTAAGCTTTTGAGAGATCTTCACCTTGGTTCAAATGTTAGTTTGTACATTACTGACTATTGCATCTCCGATAGGCCGTGAATGCGCTCGAAGGCCGGATTTTCAACGGTAACACAATCACTGCGCGATTTTTCGATCTTGAGAAGTTCGATCGGGGGATTTACACGGACTAATTGTCCTCGTTTGTGTTTGTTATTTGGGCATTCTCGACTATTGCGCATACAATAGGCCGTGAATGTGCGCGAATACCAAGTACTCAATGGTTTTTCTCCGACTGAGGAGTTGGACCGGGGGTTTACATGGACTAATTGTCCTTGTTTGTGTCCTTTTATGTACGCTATGACATGTCCATCGTTTGTTATTTGGGCATTCGCGGCTATTGCACACACAATAGGCCGTGAATGTGCGCGAATACCAGGTACGCAATGGTTTTTCTCCAACTGAGGAGTCGGACCGAGGGTTTACATGGCCAATTGCTTATGTTCATACCCTTTCGTGTACTTAGCTATGTTAATGTTAATGATAATGTTCGATTACATTTGATGTTGCTCTAGTAAAGTCTCATTGCAATGTTCTCCAAAATGATCTCTAAAAAGTAAGACAAAACGCAGACTATGAAGTATCCCGACAGTAAGCGATCCAGTTCCCTATGAAACCTCAAAAACTCCGGTCAAAACCGCCATCCCGCTACTCTGATCTATTAATCTATTGTCCCATACCTTCTTAGGAGGAAGGGAAATCAAGGAACTCCAAGTCCGGCGATACTCCTTCGGCTTAGAGGCACTGAGTAAAAGGTCTGTGTCTCCCATAGAGTCATCAGTGACAAACGCCATAGTTATACGAAGGATTCTGCTAGTTGTGCATCAACCTACTAGGAAGGGGAATCCACGAGCGCCAGCTCCGGTGGACCCGACTCCGAGGCTGAGGTGGCTGCACAGAATCTCCGTAGACGTACTCCTCTCCATCATCTTCGTCATCATCAGTATGTTCAACCAAAGCGACAGAAGATAAGTGCTGTGAGGACTGTTGTACTATGTCTGGCGTGCGTGCCGGACCACCGTGGAAGGACGCACGGGTCTCTTCGTTCTCATCTCGACCAGTGGGATTTCTACGGATCAAGGCAGGAGACTGGGAGAACAAAGTTTCCATATCAAGTTCCTCGGCATCGCTGTCATCTGTAGTCCAGTCATCCTCATCGCTATACTGGTATGCATCGTTTAGTGCTTCCAGAAGATCTTCTCTCCTCCATTCGCGGAAGGTAGAATGGCGTAGCATTAGATGGTTAAGCTTGCATTGCAGACAATTTCCTATAAGGGAGAAATATGAATTGGTCCGTGGCTCTTCGGTGCACTTGTAGCCTGTTATGAAGGCATTGTGGCACGCGATTTGATGGGTTGTATCCTGGTCTAGGTGCCGGCATAGGGCATAGTAATAGATAATGGAATGACACATGATGATAGATGATAGATGATAGTATTTAGTTTTGGGATGAGTTTGACTGAGGGCTAATGAGTGTGGATGAGATAAGTACATGAGAGGATTAAACAGTCTTTTATACTCCTCGGATGAGATTCAAAGTGTGTTGGCATCTGCCGGCAAACTTTTGTTGTTGGATAAAGCCTTTGTCGAGGACCAATCCTTATTATCAATCATTTTTGATGACTAGTATCTTTATGGAAGGCTTTATAGACTTTCTTTGTTATCTTGGGTAATACATGAATGCCTTTGTTCTTGATCTTGTAGGTAAAGGCCATGAGTGGACTATTTCTGGCTAGGGCAGAGTAGTAGTGACTCATTGAAAGAAAGTGCCCAGGTGCTCTGTTTAAAACATCATATTCTTGTTTCTTGTATAAAAATATTATATGACTTCATAATTATCTATAATAGGGGTTCTTGTCTTAAGTGAGCTTCGGAGTAGGCACTTTCCCTTTGTACTTTTCAACTTTTACTTGAATCTACTTTTCTCTCTCTCTTCATTACAAAACCTCATCTACTGCGTTGTATCAAAATGCCATCGCTGGCGAATGTGTCGAACGTATGGAAAAGATGGTGAGACCACCTACACGAACTCTCAGAGTCGCCCGATGTCGACACGAAACGACAAGAATTCATTAAGAAACCTCCTCTCGAGCCCGAAATCGCCACCATCAGTGCGGCAGACATGACACTGGCAGACGTCAACAACCCTTTTGGCCTGAGTGAACTGCAAGGGTAGGAAAAATGGCATTTCCCCCGGCGAATTATTTTACTTAGACCAGATTTTGGTACCTAAAACATCATCCCTTGTACTTTAAAATACTAATAAGTATCTACAGATACCTGGATCGACGCTTTTACAGAGCTCACTTCTCAAAGCCGACCGAAGCTCATACAAGGTGCAAAATAGACGCCCTCCTTTTTTACGGTCAACGGAAGACTAAAGGCAGATGGATTCTTGGATTACGGCCCAAACGTCACTCTCCAATTCAAAACCTCACTTGAATGGGGCCCGATTAACTACCAAAAAACAAACAACACAAGTGTGTTGGAAGAGCAGATTATACCATGTTCTTTGGTGAGCGGGACCATATGGCCTGTCATTTGGTCGTGCTACAGGCCAAGAAAGAGACCACCGGAGCCAAATTAGGGCAGCTCTTGGCCTATATGCATGGTTTGGGCAAGCCTTTCGGAAAGGCTCGAGGACAGTCCGATAGCACTGTGTGGGGTACCCTTACAGATGGGCAGTGGTTTTACTTTATTCGGCTGAGCAATGCAGGGCAATGGTCTGTGGTCGCGTATCGAATTACCCGAGATGGCTGGGGGTGATATCGCTAATATGATGGCGTTCATGGTGCTGCAAGGGCACAAGACTGCGGAGTCTCCATTGCGGCCAAGAGATCTGCCAATTTTCTTCAAATTCACTTCAGATTCACTTCAGATTCATTTCAGATTTAATTTACTTTTGACTCTGTCTTTTAACAAAGTATATAGCAACATTGACAAAGTGAGCCGATATATTATCAACCCCTAGCCGTGAATTTGACTGGCTGCATCCTGGGCATGGAAATATAAATGTAGGTATAATTCATAAAAAAAGATCGCTATCTAGGTATATCATTAAAACAAGTCGAGATCCATAATTTCCCAGGCTAGGCTTAGACAGCCCTATCATTCACGAGTAGCAGAGGTTTACTTCTAGTTTCCAGTTGCATTTCATTGGAGCACTTCATCTCCCTTGGCCTGCTGGCAATATTGTAATCCAGTCTGCAGCTCGTGAGACATACCAGATAGTTACGTATGTAATAATACTCCTCCTAATTTCCTATCGTATGTGTATATATACATAGGCCCATTCCGAGGCTGATGCCGATTGGGAGTCGTCAGGATCGTGAGGAACGATGTCAAACTAATGGACGTATAGGTTATGCTAAGCACTCAACATTTTAATTAACCATCAGACATTAATCTCAACATAGGTAAAATACAACGACTCCAGCATACATATTCCACCAACATCCCCGTGGAACAATAAGATAGTAAAAACCCCTATGATTCGGGTCCTGTCGATCAATCAACCACGCGGAGATCCAAATACTTCCATATGAATACGCTTAGGGTCCACACCTAAAGCCTCCAGGTCCTTGCTTTGAGCACTCATGAACGGCTGAGGCCCGCAGATATAATAATCTGCATCCGGAAGAATAGCCTTTTCTTTGAATTTGGACAAATCCACCCGGCCTATGTGATCATAGTCTACCCCCTGCACGTCGCTCTCAGCGGCACCTTCATAGAAAACCATGCGACTAACTGATGGGTTTTCGGCGACGATCTGGACCAGATCATTCTTCATGGCATGGACGCGACCATTACGTGCCGCATGGACGAAGACGACTCGCCGTGCTTGGCCCTGCTGGTTGATGATGGTTTTCAACATAGACATCATGGGCGTGAGCCCCACCCCTCCACTGATTAGAACAGCAGGCGTTGTGGAGTTAATGTCAAGAACGAAATCACCGAAAGGCATGCTCAATTCCAATTCCGAACCTTCCGGCAGCGATTCGTGAAGCACGTTCGAGATGTGGCCAGCCGGCTTCGAATCCCTTGCGAATTCTCGTTTGACGGAAATTCGGAAGTGACCTCGGTTCGGCACGTCAGATAGGCTGTACTGACGGGGCTGGTAGACGTCTAGTTCGGGCACGTAGCAGCGCACGCTAACGAACTGTCCCGGCTGATAGGATGGCAGGGCATCCTTGTCCAACGGGCTGAGATAGAAGGACATGATTTCGTCACTCTCTAGCGTTTTCTTCGAGATGTAGAACTTCCGCCATCCTTTCCATCCGCCGGGTGTCTTCACACCTTGCTCGTAAAGTTCTTGCTCGAAGTTGATAAAAATATCCGCTAGTTGCTGGTAAGCTGCCTTCCACGCATCGAGCACTTGCTCGTTAGCGGCGGGCCCGAGGACGTCTTTGATTGCGGCGAGCAGGTGTTCGCCGACAATAGGGTAGTGGGCAGGCATGACCCCTAAGCTAGCGTGTTTATGTCCGATGCGAGAAACAGCTGTGCTTAGGGCTTCGGGGTTGTCAATGTTAACCGCATATGCCCACACAGCATGTGCCAAGGCCGCTGGTTGCTCGCCAGTATTTTGGTGAACGGTATTGAAGATATTCTTAAGCTCCGGATGTTTCTCGAGCAAGCGCTTATAAAAGAGGGTGGTGATCGTGACTCCATACTCTTGAAGGGCGGGAATGGTAGACTTCACAATCTGCTTTTGTTGTGCTGTGATTCCCCTTCGTGGTACCGAGACATAAGCCCTTTGGGCTAGCGACTGGAGAACTGGACGCCGGAAAACACTTCGTGCGGACATATTGAGAATGTTGCAGACAAATGTTGCAGACTAGACAAGACGTATTCCAAGAGGTTTAATTTGAGTTAGAAATTTTCAGGTTGTATCGGCTAGAGGTGTCATCAAGAGAACTCCAGGGGTCTTTAACTTTATTTTCTAGTCAATCCATTAGTAACTACTCCGTATAGGAATGGATGTTGTAGGAACAGAGTAGGTAAACTAGGACTAGATTCCGAAAGAATACATGCCAAGACCGGAGTCTAGTCCTTTTGTGGTGTAGATTGAAAAATACGGTTTATTTTACCAGATCATACCCCCATTTTTTTACACATCCGTGCAATCCATAGTCTTGGAAAAAACCAATAAGATAGTTTTGCTCCATAGATCATGGAATAATTGATTCCTACTGGTTCAAACTAAACGTCATTCATAATATCTAGGTAGCTTAATCGACAACTCGTAGGCTCACCTGACAGTCAGTTTCTCCATCTATCTCCGCGGAGCATTATATACCGTAAGAGGTTGTAACCCGAATGAATGAATCATCATCCTAGGGTATGGTCATTTCAAGCACATGATGCATATTGTTGATATATAATGTTCATTTGAACTATATATATGTAACATATATATAACGAGCCAGGTCTTTCACAAAAGAAGGCAGCATCTGGAATCACCTATGGAGAGTTGATATACCAACCATCTACCCCTGTGCCGAGCACTTTCCAGATGTCCCATCTTCGTATCGTTGCTCCGTAGCTAGCTTATGCCTTCTTTTTTGTCTTGGTTACGGGCTACTTGCTCTGTATTTCAACAACACAACTCCGCATGTCTAGCTACATCCTTATCAGCCTTCCGAATCGATCTCGGCGATGCACATCCATATATCTCCTATGAGAAATGAGTGTTATCTGGGAAGCTTGCGTTTGACGAGGCGATAGGTAAGGTCTACCCAACGTATTCCGCTTCCCCCACTGCCTTAACGCTATCCGAATGGGCCTCACGGTATGGACTATTATTCAAAACATCCTCACCACCATGGCGAGCTAGAAGAAGCTATGACAAACTCCACGGATTTTCCAGATAATTGGGATCGAATCCACCGTGATCATTGTCTAGATCAACTACGGCAAGCTATCCAATTTACGCCAATACGCCGAAGAGAGACATAAATGTGGCACCGTGTAACAACACCAAATTCTTCGTAGTACTGTAGGATATATAGCCACCTCTATGCCCTCGATTTTTCTATGCAGCCCATGATACAGAAGAGTAACTGTAATTTAAGACTCACTCTTTCAGGGTAGCTTTTAGCTCGTATGAGTATAATCAGTTTATAGCAATCAAGCCGCTGAGAAGCGCAAGGGCATGGCCATATATACATAGTTATACCCAGTACTACCCTCCGAGAAGTCGAATAACGATATAATACTGGGACCACCAAACAAAAATAGTAAATTCTATATTCATATAGAAGACAGAAAAGAAAAATATCCTACAGAACCAGTTTTAACGGTTTATGGCTAACAATAGAAGTGAGGCTCCTAGCAGGTTCCTGGGCAAGGCCAGGCCCGGTCCGGGTTCCCTGTAGTTATTACATAAGCAGTCTCATTGTTCGCGTGGGGAGGTCAATTGCTATCACCTCCCCGGCTTTGACGATTGCCACTTTAAAATCTTCCCACTCATCACCTCACCTCTTTCTCCCTCCCTCATTACCCATCACTAAACTGCTCATCGTGTTCTGCAATTTATTTGAAACCAAGTTTCATCTTTCTGCTGCTTGATCTTCATCGCGAGTCAACCTGTTTTAGCTACTCACCTGCTGAACACCACCCGAGATGTCGTTGTGTCAGAACCGTCTCCAGGAAGAGCGGTAAGTGGATTCTGCGATTCTGCGCATCACTTGCGCACCACTTGCGCCACGCCCTTGACCCGCACTAACCTCTGTGGATTTTATAGAAAGCAATGGCGTCGCGATCACCCATTTGGCTTTGTCGCAAAGCCGAAACGTTCCCCGCAGGGTGGCCTGGACCTGAAGAACTGGGAATGTGCCATTCCAGGGAAGGCTAACACTCTCTGGGAAGGTGGACTTTTCAAAATCGACTTGATTTTCCCCGATGGTGAGTGGCGCAATACATCCATGACTACTGAAGATCATTATACTAATCGAGATATTTTCACGCTTCTAGAATACCCTACCAAGCCTCCCAAATGTACGTATCTCCTTTGCGATATACTCTTGTGACAGCTCGCCAGAAGAGAGCTTCTGCTGGGAACCGTCACTATGATCTCTCATGACAACAGAACACTAATACAAAAACCGTCCAGGCAAATTCACACCGGCACTTTTCCACCCTAACGTCTACCCTTCCGGAACGGTTTGCCTGTCAATTCTGAATGAGGAGGAGGGTTGGCGACCTGCCATCACTATTAAGCAGCTCTTGCTTGGCATCCAAGATCTCTTGGATGACCCGAACCCCGAGTCACCTGCACAGGCCGAGGCCTACAACCTCTTCAAGAAGGACCGTCCTCAATACGAACGTAGGGTTCGCATGGTTGTGAAGGAAAACCAGCCCAACTAGGAATACCAGCCAATCTGGCTTTTGAGTTACCCAAGCGTAAACAGCGATGGCGCTGCATGGGTCATTTACTTTTTTGTTTTCTCTCTTTCAGCATGGGATACCGGGGAGATTGAGGGAAGATCATGCATTTACTGTTTAACGAAATGAGCAGGTTTTGCTGTTCTATCGCGAGCATGGCGTTTCTACATATCCCAATGGATGGCGTTTTCTGGGCTTAGGGTCATTCAGAAACAATGATACCACATACATGCTCCTTGCTACGATGTTTAAGCTCCCCATGTATTGAGTACAGGATGACTCTGGCAGAAGGCAGAAGAAATTCAATGTCGTACTTATTTGCTCTGCATAGGTAAAATCACTTGAGCGGCCAACACAGCATCCATACCTCTGCGATGATGGAATGAGCCCAAGGTGGGGGTCTTCGGAAACTGCATTTAACTTGTATTTTTGAGCAACAAGACGCCAGTATACATATTACACTTGATGAACTTGAACCCATATCGACAACCCTTTCCCCATTTGGAATCCTCAAAATGTAGAAATGGGTGTTGAACACTGCGTCATGTCTACCAATTTGGCAAGGGCTGGAATCTAGAATACAACTCGCTGTAGCTTCGCCTCTTCCACCATATTAGCATTGTATGTAAAAAAGACCCAGGATGGTACGATCCCATTCTGTTTTTGAGACCTAAAGCAAGGAGCTGGAAGGGATATATGAGTCCCTTATACCGATACACTCATGGGTCTCACATAGATCTTCATGGTCTTAATATTGAGACGGGTGTGGCCTTGCCTTTAGTGACTCATACCGCTCTGATATCGTTGACTACACGTCCTCGTTTTTATATTCATTATGAGTTCCCGGAATATAGATGGAGGGTAACACTTCGTCAAGGAGAGGCTTGGCTAGGGCTATAGTTCATGGTGGGGGTATATTAATCACGTGACATCGAATCGATTCACTCTCTAGGGATCCCCTGTCAGACTGAAATAGCAATAATAAATAGTATGACCCGACAAAAGGAATCCGCTAATATGGTCACATATCTAACCACAGGAGTAAAAAGTCTTATAAGTCGATGCTAACTAAGCCAATTATCCATGGGCTGTTATCTTATCGGTGACTCAAAGACTTGCCGACATCGCCCCTCGCCCCGCCGGAAAGGCACCGGGGCAAAATTGAAAAAAATCGCCGTTCTTAAGGTTCCCCATATAACCGGACGATTAGTCAATTCTACTCCGTTACCCTTCTTCTCTCTCCCGAATTGATCTTCATCTCTAACCACACTTCCCAATTGCCCATCATGTGTGGAATTTTCGCGTGCCACCAGTGCGTTATATCCTATCCAAACTCCCCGCCTCTAGTGGGATGTTGATTCGGGGAATACTAACTAGAGTATAGTCACCCGGATGTGCAAAAGTTCAAGCCTACCGCTTTGCGCATGGCCAAGGCGTGAGTATCTCCATTACTTTTCAATCGCTGCAATCTACAATCTGCAATGCGCAATTCGCAATCTATAGAAATCTCGCTGACCTGTGTTCGCATAGTGTGCGCCATCGCGGTCCCGATTGGAGTGAGTCACAACCCGAGTTGCAACATTGCGCAGTATATGTGGGGATCAAAGGATTAACAAAAGTTCTCCAACAGGTGGAAACTTCTGCGCCGAGAGCACTAGTGAGTTGACACGCAATGACTTCGGTGTCGGTGTTGGTATACTAACGCGCGATACATAGTCCTGGCGCACGAGCGTCTGAGCATTGTCGGTGTTGGTATGTGGCCCCTGTGAACGATCAATGAAGATCGATTTGTTAACAATATCCTTTTAGACTCCGGTGCCCAGCCCCTCGTCAACGATGACAGCACCCTCGCCCTCGCCGTCAACGGTGAGATCTACAACCACCGCCTCATTCGCAAGAACCTTCGCCACAAGTACGACTTCAAGACACACTCTGATTGTGAAGTTATCATTCCCTTGGTACGTCAGGATATAACGGAGTTGGAATTAGAGTGGAAATGCTGATATATACTAGTATGAGGAGTATGGCCTTGATGCCCCCAAGCACCTTGATGGCATGTTCTCTTGGGTTCTTTGGGATAAGAAGCAGGACCGTGTTGTTGCTGCCCGTGACCCCATCGGTATCACCAGCTTCTACCTTGGCCGGTCCTCGTCGACTCCCGGCGCCGTCTACTTTGCCTCTGAGCTCAAGTGTCTGCACCCCGTCTGCGACGACATCATTGCCTTCCCCCCGGCCACATCTATGATTCCAAGACCGACTCCCTGACCCGCTACTTCGAGCCCAAGTGGTGGAACCCTGCCAACGTCCCCTCGACCCCTGTTGACTACAAGGTAGTCCGCCACAGCCTCGAGAAGGCCGTCCGCAAGCGTCTGATGGCCGAGGTTCCCTACGGTGTTCTGCTGTCTGGTGGTCTCGACTCCAGTTTGGTCGCTTCTATCGCCCAGCGCGAGACGCTCCGCATGGCTGAAGCTGCCCGCAACGCGCCTCAGAACGTCAACGCAGACGGCGAGTTGGTTGGCATTGACGACGAAAATGATCTATCGACCGTCACCACCTTCCAGCAGCTGCACTCATTCTCCATCGGCCTTCCCGGTGCCCCCGATACCACCGCGGCCATTGAGGTCGCCAAGTTCCTCGGCACTAAGCACCACCCCTTCACCTTCACTGTTGAGGACGGCCTCGATGCTCTCTCTGACGTGATCTACCACCTCGAGACCTACGATGTTACCACCATCCGTGCCTCTACTCCCATGTACCTGCTCTCCCGTAAGATCAAGGCCATGGGTGTCAAGATGGTTCTGAGTGGTGAGGGTTCCGACGAGATCTTCGGTGGCTACCTCTACTTCCACGCTGCCCCCAACAAGGAGGAGCTCCATAAGGAGACTGTCCGCCGTGTGAAGAACTTGCACTTGGCTGACTGCCTCCGTGCCAACAAGTCCACATCCGCGTGGGGTCTTGAGGCCCGTGTTCCTTTCCTCGACAAGGAATTCCTCGAGACCTGCATGGGTGTCGATCCCCAAGACAAGATGATCACCCCCGAGCGTATCGAGAAGCACATGCTGCGCAAGGCCTTCGACACCACTGATGAGCCTGAGACCGCTGCCTACTTGCCTGACAAGATTCTCTGGCGCCAGAAGGAGCAGTTCAGCGATGGTGTTGGCTACAGCTGGATTGATGGCCTCAAGGATGAGGCTGAGCGCCAAGTCACCGATGAGATGATGAAGAACCCTAAGCCCCAATGGGGCACTGACGTTCCCGACACCAAGGAGGCGTATGTTTCCCACCATTTTTCTCCAACTTAAAGTACTGTTGAAAACTAACCTGGGATATAGATACTGGTACCGTACCATGTTCGATGAGCACTTCCCTCCTTACTGTGCCGGCACTGTCGAGCGCTGGACCCCTACCTGGTCCAAGCAGAGCGACCCCAGTGGAAGGTGAGTTGTTATTCTTTATTCCCTATTTAATCCATCTTCTCTAACCATCCTTTACAGAGCCATCGCCATCCACAACCAGAAGTATGACGAGTCGGAGTAAAAAGTCTTTGAGAGTATAAACAAAAGGATCTGAACTTTTCTCATTTAGCATTTTCTTTGGAGATATAGCACTGGATTAGATTAGACATATACCCTTCTAGTATAGAGATGGTATAATGTTATGATCTCAAATGTTTTTTTTTCTTATGTATTTTCCTAAACACGTGACCTGCCCTGCCCAAACATTACCGGCGGGCTTTCCCGGCAGCCGGGCAACCGCCAATCACCGCCCTCCCACTAACCCGTGCTAAGCCCCTAGGTTCCCCCAACATCATCACAACTTCTTCTTTCCCTTCCTCTCTCTTCATCTTTTCATAAAACCACCTCTTCCCCCTTCATCTCTAATTAGACTACTTTCGTCAACATGTCTGCCCCCGCTGCTTTCTCTGATATCGCCAAGGCGACCAACGATGTACGCACAACTGTTGGGAACAAAACTCAGAACCTTGGCTAATACTTCGTCCCAATAGCTCCTGAACAAGGATTTCTACCACGGCGCTGCCGGTTTGTTTATCCACATCATTTCTTGAAGATTTTTTAGCTGATGAAAGGCTTTTAGCCAACCTTGAGGTTAAGTCCAAGGCCCCCAACGGTGTCACCTTCACCGTTAAGGGCAAGTCTGCCCACGAGGGCCCCATTGCTGGCCAGGTTCGTTGAATATCTTCTCCAAATACGCCATGCAGATTGCTAACTACTACGCGTACAGCTCGAGGCCAAATACGTTGACGCGCCCACTGGTAAAGGCCCCTTCCACAAAAAACCTCCCGATCCCGGCGCGCACAAATCCCGTTTCATGCCATTGATGTTCGGATGCGGCATTCCAATTGCGCGCCGGGTGACCATACTGATTTATTCGGATGCAAAGGCGCACAGGATTAGGCTAATATGCTCACCGCGATCAGGCCTCACCCTCACCCAGGCTTGGACCACCGCCAACGCTCTCGACACCAAGCTCGAGCTCGACAACAACATCGCCAAGGGCCTCAAGGCTGAGATCCTGACCCAGTACCAGCCCGCTAAGCAGTCCAAGGGTGCCAAGCTCAACCTGTACTTCAAGCAGCCCAACCTGAACGCCCGTGCCTTCTTCGATCTCCTTAACGGCCCCTCCGCCAACTTCGACGCCGTTCTCGGCCACGAGGGCTTCCTCGTCGGTGCTGAGGGTGGTTACGACGTCAACAAGGCCGCCATCACCAAGTACTCCGCTGCCGTCGGTTACAGCGTTGCCCAGTACTCCGCTGCCATCACCGCCAGCAACAACCTGTCCCTCTTCTCCGCCAGCTACTACCACCGCGTCAACGCTCAGGTTGAGGCCGGTGCCAAGGCTTCTTGGGACTCCACCTCCGGCAACGCCGTCGGCCTCGAGGTCGCCAGCAAGTACCGCCTCGACCCCTCTTCCTTCGCCAAGGTTCGTTTAAAGTGTCTATATGCCTGTTGTGAATCACGACTAATCGCGCAATTTTCTCGCAATCTAGGCTAAGATCAACGACCGTGGTATTGCCGCTCTGGCTTACAACGTCCTGCTCCGCCCTGGTGTCACCCTCGGCCTCGGTGCCTCCTTCGATACCCAGAACCTGAACCAGGCTGCCCACAAGGTCGGCGCCAGCTTCACCTTCGAGGCTTAAGCGTCTGGATTTCAAGCCTTCCAGGAACCTGACAGATGACCTACCATCTTTTAGGAAGATATTTGTAAACTTCAGGCATTAGTTCACTTGTCTTGCTGATTCACCAGAACGAAGATTATGGTGGGGGTTACGTCCAAGATAATAACCATGTGTGTGTGTGTCGTAGATCTTTCTGCTCGATCACTTCTGTATATCAAACCCAACTGTTTCCTTTGTTGATCAATCCGATCGATTCATACGATCTAGAACACTGCGAGGTGTGCTTGTAGCCACGCAAGAGTACCAGTACATCAACCAGCAATGTATTTGAACTATGTACAACATATATACCAAGAAACTACACGTCTACAGGAATGTGTATGCTCGAAACAGTAAGAGACAACTCCATCAAGAAGGCAAAATCTCCCTCTGCTTCCTTGTCTTCCTCCCATCGACAACCTTAGGAACCGCCCGCCAAAGATCCACGACAACAAGCATAACAATCAAACACCCGGAACAAAGAAAGAACCTCGAAATCGTCTGATCAACCCCAGGCTCACGCTCAACCCGATCCTCATCAATCCTCCTAGCCTCCCTCCTCCTCTCCCTCCTCCTCCTATCCTCCGCCTCCTGCGTCCGAAAGTGACCCCGAGCATTAAAATGATTCAACGGATTCCGACGAATAAACCCCTCCCAATCCTCCGGATCAGCATGTTTCGCCCCAGCACCAGCACCAGCGCCGGCGCCAGTCCCGAATTCCGACCCCGACCCAGCACCACCCGCGAAACCCTGCCCCTGTCTCCCCGTACCACCATACCCACCCTGCTCATAGAAACTAGGCGGCGGACCATGGAACGCCGAGCGCCGCTTGCTCAGCCCGCTGGCAGGTCGCGACCCGGCGTAGCTGCTGTGACTGCCCATCGGGTGTTGGTGGCTGTGGCTTTGGCCCGGGGAGGCGTGTTGCTTGACGTGGAAGCCGTGGTCGCGGTCGTAGACTGCGCGCTTTGAGACGTTGCCGAGGACGTTGTAGGCGGCGGATATGCGGGCGAAGCGTTGGCTTGCGTTTGGGTCTGTGCGGTTGCGGTCTGGGTGGTGGTGCATTGAGAGGGCGTAGAATTGTCTAGGGATTGTGTAAGTATTAGGGATATATACAGGATTGGTGGTGGAGGGTTGGAGGGTTGGAGGGATCGAGGGGGGTTTGTTGGGTGTGGGTGTGAGTGTACTTCTTTATCTCCGCTGCTGACGCGGTTATAGGGACGTCGAGGATTTCGTAGAAGTTTTGTTCGTGGGCTCGGGATGGGTTGCTGGTTGAGAAGAAGGATATTTTTGGTCTTGGGAGTTGCTGTGGTTGTTGTTGGCGTGTGTATAATTGTGGTCGGAGCGGTTGGGTTGAGATGCCCCGGTAGGTTGAAGGGGAGGGGGAGAGGGTCGCGCGCGGAAGGAAGAGGATTGCTGTTACTCGAGACGGAGGCATTGTGGTATATTTAGAGGATGTGACATGGAAATAAAGAGAGAAATAAGTTCTTGGGTAGGGGGTGGGGGAGGGATGGAAGAGAGAAAGAGAGGGAGAAGCGGAAGAAGATCGGAGGTGAAGATCGGAGTGGCGTCACTGCGGTTCGAGGTTGATCGACTTTACAATGTTCACCGAGTGTTCCTTACTAGCTATTGGTATACTCTAAGGCATAGTGCCAATCAATTTGGTCTTTCCTATCTCTCGAAATACTACATTTAATATAATTTACACTCACGTGGGCAGTTGCAATTGCCATAACTCCAGCTGATGATCAGATTAGATAAGAGATCCTACATTATGCCATTTCGGGCATCAACCTTCCGGTGGACTGCTTGATCCAATGAGAACAAGGATCCACATATTGTGAGATCATAGTTCCTTTCGTTCAAGATATTGCAGAAACTTTTCATGAGCTTGCACCTAGTGATATACCTCTAATTTCAGTTAGTGGAATCGTTGACGGGAAGGGGTGTGCTGCAGGCATTGACTCTTGGAGCCTCCGGGATGGTTAGGGCACCCCAGTTACTCAGTGCTGAGAAGACTTCCATTCCGGGTTTTTACCAAAATGCCATCTTTGAGCCATTCGATGGAGGTCCAGCGACGGCTAGATCGAATGTATTTGAGAACCTAATTTCTGGCCAGAAACTTGTGATGGACCTCAATGCATTCACACAGGTCAGCCGCCACTTCCATGCATTGTCAAACAGGGATCTTTACAGGACTACCACTAAAAGCTCACCTGGAAAAGCGATGGCATGGGCGGTTGAAAAAGGGAAGGAAACTAGTGCGAGCAAACTATTGCAGTTGTGCGGCTTGAAGATATTGGACGACCTCGTCCTTAAGGGCCAATCTGCATCGAATAATTATTTCTATCCCACTGTATTCAATATGACACCGAAAAAGAAGGAGATTTGTTCAAAAGAGCACTTGCTGTTGCAATCCCAGAACACCGTCGCGATATTCGTCCTGACTGCCTTTGTAGTTTGGAGTCGGGCATGGGAATGACACCCCAGATAATTAACAAGCATACACCGCGTATTCTCAAGTCGACATCCTGCAGCTTTTCGAAGTGGGCCTCACTATATTGCAGTAGTCAAACTGCTCCTCGAATGCAAGACTGATTTGAAAACCAACCACGAGGACAGAAATGCTGCAATTCCTTTATCGAAGGCAGTTGAAATGGGACATGTATAAATCGTCAGCCTTCTACTGGAACGTACTTACTGCAATCTCGATACATATGACCTAGATGGGGTCATTATTTTCTAAGCTCGCCTGGTCCTGGGAGTCGGTCGTAAATGGCGACAAACGGGATGACTAACGGGGCCCCGTTAATTCTGTTCGGCTCGACGTAGACTTCCTGTGTCGAGTATGGCTGCTGGGTGGTAATTAGCTGAATGGTGAGGGGGGGTGGGAGGACACTAGAGGTTTGTGTCCGAAGTGGACGAAGGTATGCTCGGGTGAGTGGGCGTGGAGTATTGCTGGGAGCCAGTTGCTTTTGTCGAACCCTTTTGTCGAACGTGAGGCTGGTCGGCTTAACCGAGATGATGATGAAAATTCGCACTCGACCCTCAGATATAAAAAGCCATCTCCTAGCGTCTTCACGAAGCCGACTAAGAGATTCCGAAACCCCTGTCTCGATGACAAACGTCCACGGGCGATTAAGTATGCCACCGGCACATAAGAAACATACATTTCAATTGTATAGCCAAGTCCAAGCATTGAATCTACAATTTATAGATCTTCCAAGGTTTTATATGACTTACCTACAACAGTCTACCCTATAAAGATTTATCTATCAAATTAAATTCAAATTAAATTAAATTCAGATTCAATTCAGATTCAATTCAGATTCACTTCAGATTCACTTCAGATTCAGTTCAAACTTAATCTACTTTAAGAGGTTCGTATGCCCATTTTAGAAGGTATTAATTTTATCAACCTTATAATCTACCTAGGTAGGTATTCAATTACCTGTTTTTGTGAAGTGAGAGTAGATCCAAATTACTGCTAGCAATATGAACCAATGATAGAGTTATGTGCCGGTGGCATATTTCGAGACCCGTAAACGTCGGCCATGATCAACTTGGAGCCCTATTAGGGCAGCGAGATAGTGGTAAAAACGCTTCGTCCCCATGTTTGCCTGTACCAGCGGTGGGCTTATAGGTTGCTAATCTAGCCCAGACAATCTCTTACTACCTAAGTCCCATTACAGTAAGCTTCGTATCTACTACTCGAGTGAGTTTGGCGGTAGCTATGTCGTGGCGTTCTAAAGGAACCACTTTAATCAGCCTAGTCGTACCCTCCCATTGAAAACGATAATTAATAGCCCCGAGGCTACCATGGTGCTCTTCGTGGAGCTTTTGATAGCTCGTGCCGATAGATTGAGGATGACCAAAAACTGGTGAAGGACACAATGGCGACGCTGCTATTTGACAAAGGAGCGATATTTGATCCGGACAAGTATCGTGGGTCAGCCGAGTACCGTCAATGAATGAAGCTGCGTATGGCTCGAAGCAAACCTATTGGTTAAGACCATGTATCTATGTGATAGTTATGGAAAATGTACATAGTACATATACACTTCAGGCTACAGACTTACATCAAAGGTTATACGTAGAAAATTCTCTTGCACAAAGTATGCTTCTTTTTTGCCAATTTCGTACACATCTAAAAAGACACGACAAGGCCATATAACTGGCCGAGTATTCTTGTACTCATCTTTGGTTATCGAATCATTAAACCACGCGCCTGCGTCTAGCAGTTTGCGAACGCATACTATTTCCTTCCCATTCGCTGCGGCCCACGCCAGAGGTTGGAGAGTCTTCTCCATCTTGAGATGTTCGTCGACTCTGTCCTTTAACAAGATATACAGAAGAGGATGACATTGATATAGGGAGAGTATGGAACATTTCGCCAAGAAATCTCCAAGGTATAGCCTTATCTTATCAGCAAAAATCTTTCCCCGACATCCGACATTCCCCTCTTTTCCCTTTGAACTTGACTTGTTTAATTGCCACATTCAATATGGCAGCTCAAACTACGGAGAAGTTGGATCAGCTGGACCGTAAGATTTCCAAATTTTCTGTTTGCTTCTCTGTGTGACTGATCAGATACCAGTGAACGTCCAAGCCGCCCCCACGGCAGACCAGATTCCCGCTGAAGCAGAGGAGGACTCGGACGACGCCCAAGACGGCGAGGGTGCTGCAGAGGCTGGAGCTGCTGGAGGTAATTTTAGTTGAGGCTTATTTCCGTGACTGCGCCTCTAGAACCCCACCGCACCCCCGCCCCACAGAAGTCAGCAGGATTGAACTAACAGCGGGGTTAACTCTAGCCGACAAAAAGAAGAAGAAGAAGAAGCCCAAGAAGAAGGGCAAGAAGAAGGGTGGTGCCAAGGTTCAGAGCGAGCCACCGCGTGTCCCTGTGTCCAACCTCTTCCCCAACGGCCAATACCCCGAGGGCGAGATCGTCGAATACCTAAACGACAATGCGTACCGTACCACCGACGAAGAGAAACGATACCTTGATCGCATGAACAATGACTTCCTGCAAGAGTACCGCCAAGGTGCTGAGGTTCACCGTCAGGTCCGCCAGTATGCGCAGAAGAACATTAAGCCCGGCCAGACATTGACTGAGATCGCCGAGGGTATCGAGGATTCAGTGCGCGCTTTGACAGGTCACTCAGGTCTGGAGGAGGGTGATAACATCAAGGGTGGCATGGGCTTCCCTTGCGGTTTGAGCATCAACCACTGCGCCGCGCATTATACCCCGAACGCGGGAAACAAAATGATCCTGAATGAGGGAGATGTCATGAAGGTCGACTTCGGTGCGCAGCTTAACGGCCGCATTGTGGACAGTGCTTTCACCATGACTTTTGACCCAGTATACGACCCTCTTCTCGCCGCTGTCAAGGACGCCACCAATACCGGTATCCGGGTAAGTTTTCCTGCTCTTCTTCGATTTAAGCGGAGCTAATGGGTTTTTAGGAAGCGGGAATTGACGTCCGTATGAGTGATATCGGTGCCGCCGTTCAGGAAGCTATGGAGAGTTACGAAGTTGAGATCAATGGCACGATGCACCCCGTCAAGTGTATCCGCAACTTGAACGGTCACAACATCGACCAGCACGTTATCCATGGTGGCAAGAGTGTGCCTATTGTCAAGAGCACCGATCAGACTAAGATGGAAGAGGGCGAAGTTTTCGCTATTGAGACTTTCGGTAGTACTGGTAAAGGCTACGTGCGAGAGGAAGTAAGTTTATACTATAGTTACTGGACTTGGGAATCGAGAACCAAAACTAACATGACACTAGATGGAAACCTCGCACTATGCTCTCGCCCCCGACGCTCCTAACGTTCCCCTGCGTCTTTCCTCCGCTAAGAACTTGTTGAATCTGATCAACAAGAACTTTGGCACCCTTCCCTTCTGTCGCCGGTACATTGACCGTCTGGGTCAGGACAAGTACCTTTTAGGCGTAAGTTAACGATGGAATTTATTTGTGAGACATTGAAGCTAACGGATATAGTTAAACAACTTGGTTTCTTCTGGCATTGTCCAGGATTACCCCCCTCTTTGCGATATCAAGGGCTCATACACTGCCCAATATGAACATGTATGTTTCTATTTTGGGATTTTCCCCACTTGGAAGACCGTTTACTGACTTGTTTATCTTAGACAATTGTGTTGCGTCCGAATGTGAAGGAGGTTATTAGTCGTGGCGACGACTACTGATGTATTTCATAGACATACGTAAATACTAAAAGCATCTCCCAGATATCTCTCCTATTAGTAATGTCTCAAATAGATTGGAGAATCACCAAAAGCCCCGACATCAAAGCGCCGATCCTGCCAAGCCTCAAACCATCAAGTATGCCGTGTCGCCCCACGTGGAACAACCGTCTTCCGACTTTTTAAATCAGCTCCTATCTCTCATGGCCTAAACTTCGACACATACCAATTTCCATCATGTCTGCGGTTGTTGAAACAAGTTCGCCGCACCTCCGGGCGTCGGCAGCCAAGGCATCCGACAAAACACAGCCAGAGTCCACTAGAATCCAGGCACCGGAGGCTTTAGTCGACGACCATTTCTTCTGGACATACACTGAAGAGCCGCATCGCTCAAGACGACAAGCAATTATCAAGGCCCATCCCGAGGTACGTAACCCTGTCTTGGACCCTGCTGGCGGTATAGGGCTCGGCGAAGACTCCGTGCGGAGATCTGCGGAGATCTTACATACCCTGGCCACTTTCCTGGGCGATGGACGGCCACAACAAATACAATTGCAATGCTGATTCATAATATTATGTGTCTATAGGTTACTAAACTATGTGGCCCTGAGCCTCTTACCAAATGGGTCGTCCTCGGCGTCGTGTCCCTACAACTGACCTGTGCCTACCTCCTCCGCAACACCTCGATGCTCGATTGGCGGTTCCTGGTCACCGCATACGTGATCGGTGCGACTTGCAACCAGAACCTGTTCCTCGCCATTCATGAGATCTCTCACAACCTAGCATTCCGGTCTGCTTTCGCCAACCGATTGCTTGCCATCTTCGCAAATATCCCTATCGGACTGCCGTATAGCGCAGCATTCAGAGTACGTATAATCTTCCACATACCAGAAAACCAGGGACCAGCATTACCCCAATAGAACGCATGAACTGACAAAATACCAACAGCCCTACCACCTGACGCACCACAAATCCCTCGGCGTAACAGGCCTCGACACCGACCTCCCAACAGCAGTAGAAGCCTTCTTCCTAAACTCCCTCCTAGGCAAGACCTTCTTCTGCACCTTCCAAATCCTCTTCTACGCCGTGCGCCCAATGTTCATCTACAGCCCGCCCTTCACCTACATCCACCTCCTGAACCTCGGCGTGCAAATAAGCTTCGACTACGCCCTCAGCAAACTATGCGGCGGCTTCCAGCCCGTGCTATACTTCCTGCTGAGCTCATTCCTCGCTGGATCCCTACACCCGTGCGCAGGCCACTTCATCGCAGAGCACTACTTCTTCTCGAACGTGAAGAGCGGCGGCACAGAGTCCCTGACCGAGCTGAAGAAGAACGATAAGCCCAAGGTCCCCCACCCGCTCGATTCACTGCCTCCCCCGGAGACATACTCGTACTACGGCCCGCTCAATATCCTCACCTACAATGTCGGGTTGCATAACGAGCACCATGATTTCCCTGCTATCCCCTGGACTCGATTGCATAAGCTGCATGAGATTGCGAGGGAGTTCTATGAGCCGTTGCCTTGCCATCGGAGCTGGGTTTGGGTTATTTATACCTTTATCTTGGATAAGGATGTTGGTCCTTGGTGTCGTGTGAAGCGCGAACAGGGTGGACGGATTGTTGGTGGTGGGGCGAAGCGCGGTGATGATTCTGCTGCGTCTAAGCAGTGGAATGGACGTGGTGGTGAGGGTATCTCGGCTGCGTCGGCGGGTCCGGCGGGTGAGGAGGGTGACGGGTGGAAGGAGAGTGAGATTCAATGTTAGATCTTCTTTCCTGCCTCGCAAGTATAACGTCTGGTGTTGAATTCCAACTTTTCGGTTACATACATTATTGGGTGGAGTACTTGTTTGTATTTGTTAGATATATTTGTTTACAATAAAATCGGCCTCTGATTTCCAGTGCCTAAAACACAAAGACAGGAATGACTGCAATCAACCAATTACCGAAGGATGGGGACCTTGGCCCCGACTATGTACGACATGGACTTAGCTCTAATAGCAATCACATGAATTATCCCGAGCTTGAGAATGTTTTTATGACACAAAGAGAAACGAATCGAGAGGCTGAGTCCGTTCATCATAGAATGATATTAGACAAGACAGGATGGGGTAAAGAAACAAAGGAAAGCAACAACAAAGAGCACGAGACGGACAGACGACCAGCCTCAGGGGGGTTTGGAAGTACAATATGAAAGTAGAGTATTGATAGTGGTGTGAGAAACTTAAAGCAAACGCAGAAAAAGGCTGATGCTAGAACAGATAGAAAACGGCATGCTCTTCAAGAGACAGAAAGTAGATGGGAATTTGGGAGAGGCGTCAGCGACGTTAGACCGGAGGCATTGAGCACGCGCAGAAGAGGCGCAATGAATCCAGATAGACCGTGAGAAAGCGACAAACAAAACACGAGCTTAGAAGAAGAAGTATGCGATCAAGAAGCTGAGCAAGCAGAGGCATGCTACACCCTGGATCGAAACTCCACCGGCCGTTGGCGCATGTGACTGCTGCATGTTGGCAGGCACAGCCTGGCCGGTAGCCTCTCCGCCGGTCTTCCGCTGCCGCAGTCCTTGGTCTGCGAGTCGGTCCTTCAGTCTCTGGATCTGTGCATTGGCTTCGGACAGCTGGGACTTAAGTTCGTCGCTCGTGGGGAAAGCGTTGATGACAGCGGACTTGGCATTTGAAATGGCGGATGCGGGCTCGCGCTGGGGAGACTCGGACTTCTTCTCAGAGAAATCAGGAGCTGGAATTGGGGAGGCTTCATCAGAGTCGATCTTCTTGGGGGCCGGGGTCTGGAAGTT